GGGAAATGGGATCTCAGTTCTACAACCGAAAAGAGCTGCAGTTGTCCAGTCATCCGAGCAAGTTGTATGGAGAAGAGCTGGCAGAGCAGGCCTGACTGCTGACCTCTGAAACCATTCCCACTACCCTAAACAATCAGGGCAGCTAACTGTCCCTCAACTGTTTGTACCTGGTTTCCTTAAGTGCTGGGCAGAGGGTGCCTATGTGACCGGCACTCAAGAAAAACACTGGGCAACAAGTCTCTATTGAGTATCCCTGTAGTCCTCATTTCACAATTCACTACTGAAGGAATAGAGCCCTTCCAGAGTGACTGTACCAGGGGAGGACTGTTGGAAGCTCAGGCCTGGTCTCCCCAGGACCTTGCCCCATGCACCTTTTCTCTTTGCCAACTTTGCTTGGGGTCCTTTCACAATAATTAATAGAGTTGTGAGTATAAAGATATGCAGAGTCCTGTGATTCCTCCCAGTGAATCATCCCTAGGGGAAGGTCTAGGGCTTCCTGACACAGCTTGGAAGATAATTCTTCCCCAGAGTCTCCAGGAAAAAAAAGTGTAGCCCTGTTAACACCTAAGCAGAGGACCCAGTGATGGACCTACAGAAACTATAACATAATAATTTTGTCTTGTATGAAACCACTAAGTGCTCGGTCATAGTAAAGTGAATAAATGCATACTGCTTTCACTAATAGACTGTAACCATTTCAAGGAATTTTTTTTAAATCTTAAATTCACTCAAGTTAATGTCACTGGTTCGTGTCTAAAACAATCAGCTAAAGAATGGGTAGAGCCTCAGGTTGGGCATGTGGCTGACTATGAAAGGCACCTGGCACTGCGTGATGGGGCTGGAGAGCAGCCCAAATCAGCTCTACTTCTTAAAAGAAACAGTTAGAAATGCCCTCCTATAACACTGGATAAAAGTACCTAGTGTTAGAAAACTAGTTCTTGATTCAATTTACAGCAACATTTATGGACAACATTTATGGACAACATTTACTTACAATTATCAACAGTGAGGTTTGCTGCTGTAGATGTAAATTGTGTCAGAACCAGGCCCAAAGGGGGAGACTGATTCACTTAGACCATGGTGATAGATGCAGAAGACAGAGGGCTGGAGTGTCTTTCCTAAAGGAGCTCAAAACACAAGCGAGAAGCATAGCACCAAAGTCCTACAACACAGCTTCAGAACCATGGGCTGAGACAAAACGATAGAGAAGGGCAGAGCAGGAGGGGCCACCTTTGGGGATCAGGAAGATAGATTTCACTCACCTAACATCCAGGAAACATGTACCGCCTCTCTGGCTGGCACCAGACACCTTGAAGTGCTGGGGACACAAGGAGCGAAAGAAGGGTCTCTATCTAGTGAGATCACTGGTGTGGAAGCAGCCCAGGACACCTAAGTATGCTGTAACAGTTCATAGGATGAGGGTGTCATACTCTGCCCTCACACACAGGGTCCAAAATGAATAACACCACTCTTCTTGATACCTTCCCGGGTGCTTGATTTTTAAATAAAATGGCATGAGGTGATGCCTGGATATGACTTCCCTCCAACCAACTGGTTCAAAAATGAAAAACAATAATTTCCAGTCTTTCAGTCGTTTATTGGCAAGGGAGTCAAAAATAGGAACCTGATTTAATACAACTAAGAATAAGCATGTATTAACTATTAGTTACCTAATTTCAAAAATCAATATTTAGTTTTGGACAAAGGTCCTCTATTAAGCTTTACCTGCTATTCATTCTTAACTAAACCTGGTTTGGACTTGATTTACCTAGAATTAGTTCAACATTAATACATATTGCTAATCACACACCTGGCACTTGCTTGTTTGGGGCCAGCCCCAAAGCACTCTGACAGGGAAATGCCCTCCTATAACACTGGATAAAAGTACCTAGTGTTAGAAAACTAGTTCTTGATTCAATTTACAGCAACATTTATGGACAAACTAATAAGAGCTTCAGAGACAGAAAACTGAACAGACCACAGTTGATTAATTCATAATATGTAATACAGTTCTAATGAAATTCACATGAGGGCAATTAGTTATTCACGAATATTATCATTTTGCTGCCTTTTAGCCTTAGAGATAGACTGGTGCTGAGAAGAAAAGGCTTTTTAGTAGGCACCCTTTCTCTCACCATTGCAATTAAAGAAAAAGAAAAAGTTACATGACATCCTCAACATAAATTAAAGGAAGTTAACTCTACATCTTTTTATTATAGTAAACATATATATCATAAAACGTATGATTTTAATCATGTTTAAGTGTACAGTTCTGTGGTATGAAGACATTCATCTTGCTATGCAACCATCACCACCACCCATCGCCAGAACTTTTTCATCTGCCCAACTAAAACTCTGTACCTATTAAACATT